GCACATACATGTCTACACACAGACACACACACAAAAGTGTCCTTCATTCTTCAGGAAGAAATGTATTATTTACAAAGCAAATGATCGTCATCTTAAAAGGAAGTATATAATACAAGCAAAAGATGAAAAATAAATCTTACTCACCATCTCCCATAGCCATTCAGATGGTCCAGGGAGCTCTCTGAAACCAAGAGGTCAAATAGCCCAGCAAACAAGTACGGCTTGGTGCCTGCGCCACTGGCTCGGCCTGCAGCCTGCAGACACCCAGAGCACTGTGTGACCCAGGCCGCGCTGCAGCTCTGCACCGCAATAGCCAACAGCTGCTACTCCACTTCAAAATAAAAGTCTGGGGTCTTGCCGAACATCCTCCTTTATTTAGCAGAGCCTAGCAGGGCTTGATCAAGATTATTCTTTAATTGCACATACGCTGTTAGATACGAGTTATGAAGTCCCTCCTTGTACTGGCTGTCTGAAATTCAATGTAAGAAAAGCTCTGGGAGCCAATATATGCCATCCCACCGGGGGACTTTTAATGCAATCATCAAAACACAAGGCATGTGTTCAGCAATCATTTTCTGCTTCCCTAAAGATATCCATGTAATCAGTAGCAATCACATGATCCAATGGATTAACTGATTTGCACCTTTTTAAAAAGGTTTTCATCTCTTTGTCATTACCTGTTAATATTTACAACAGAAGACTGCTAGAAGTGCACAAATAAGAGTAGCTCAGTTTCCATGATTTACTGCTCTCATTATGCAGGAAGCATTTCTGGCTGCCATAAACAAATCACGTCAAAGGCAGCCCATCAAAGGCTGCTCTGTGTGTGGACAGCAGGGCCACACGGAACAAAGCTTGCTTCTAGCGGAGACAGAACCTAGCCAGTGCGCAGCTGCAGGGGTGCAGAGCACCCTCCATCCAAGCTGCACAATCATCAGTACATTGCCAAGCTCAGAGAAGGCCCTGGGTCACAAAGAGATATGTTTTAAAACAATCAACCTAGGAAAAGAGTCACTTCGTTTTTCACAAAAAAAGGTTATGTTATAAACATACACAAAACCAAATATCAAAGTAATGGCAAAGGCTAATTTTTTCATGCCTGTTTGTTCAGTATCAACCTCCAAAAGCTATTCTTTTCCTAGCAACTGTTTCAAAGAGGGAAGCTGGAAAATATTTTACAATGATTACATGTCAAAGACTGCACTAGGTTCTACAGGCACATAGACAAAACAGAATTACCCATAGTGTTTTCCCAATGAAGGGGAAAGAAAACAAAAAGACTTGCAGTAGACTTGCAGTCACAGCCCAGCACTGCCAGTGTTTACATCTTGGTTAGCATAGGAGATTGTCTAGAAAGCACCATGACGACAACAGGTCCTGTGTAATCACAGAGAGACTGCAACTTTCAGTCTTTTTCTTCCTACAGGGCTGGTGTTGACGCCTTCCAGCCACTATCTGATTAAATTTAAATCCAATTTCTTTCTAACAGTAGAGCTAATACCACTGCATTTAGAGATTGCCTAATTTACTTTGTAATGAGAGAATTAAACGTCAGGCTTAAAAAACCCTAAGACAGAAAAGCATCTTGTATTTCTCACTATTCCTAAACTAAATGATATGTTCAAATCTCTGATGATGAGTGTGCTCAACCAGTGCTCTAGAAAATCAAGTTTAAAATTCAATCAGAACTTACATCAAAAGAGTCTAAGTTCTACTCTGACATGCATGGGGTTGCCTTGAGTTGGAACTGCCTCGACCGCAAATGGTTTTTCTGTTTTAATGACTGTTCAGATAACAATTTTTAACTAAAACAGTTCTTAAAAAGTTATACTACCTTTCCAACAAAGCCTTTTTTGTTGCTGTCTTCAATAAAATGACTTTTAAATCCCTAAACATTCCAAATCAATATACTACTATAAGAAGGAAAATTTTCATTATTATGATTTCAGACAAAGACACACTAAAAAGTTTTATTTGCCATAATAGTTTCTAGTCAGAGACTATCATATGCAATACTATCATATCCCATGTTTGGATAAACCCAAAACAATTTGCTTTGCCTAAGTACAGGAAGAAGGAAAGGTATCTTCAATAGTTCTTCAGTATGTTGAATACATGAACTATTGCTAAAATTTAGTTTTTGTGTCTAATCTTTAATTAAGCCTAAAATATTTTTCTGTTCTACGGCTTTATGTTAAAGTTTTAGTTTAAATGCAACCTAACACAGAACTAACAAAGAGCTGAAAATTTTGTGGACAAAATTGTGCAAAAATAAAAAAAGGAGTTCAATAAACCTCTATCATATTACATTTTATATGTAAACTACTTGCTTTCAAATTTATTATAAAAATTTGTTTTTAATATCCAACTAATATCTTTTGCTGCTTGTGAAGATTATCCGGGTATGTTGGTTAGGATAAAACACATGATCATAATTTTTCTCATTAATATCAGTAGAAATTTTTTTTTTTCATTGAATGGCTTTTGACTTAGCAGCAGAGTTCTTAGGAATAATTTAAAGTCATTAAACAAGAAATAGCTGTATTTCCTCCATTACCAACTATAATCACTTTGTTCAACCCTCACTAGACTGACTGTAGGCTCCATGAGGACAAGAACTTTTAACTGTTTTCTGTACCGTTTTGACATCATCTTATTTATATTTTAAGAAGTTCACTTTGACTTCTTGGTAGAAAATGGATTTCAGGGCAACAAAGGTGGAACAGAAGTCTACTGCTATAGCCCAGATAAAAACTAATGGCAACTTAAAAGTACAGTGTTAGCAGCAGAGATGTAAAAAAATAAGCAAATCTGGGATTTATTGCTATCTCAGAGGTAGAAAAGGCTAATTTAGAATGGGTGATTAACAATACCTTCAGGTTTCTAGCTTGAGTGAAAAGTGATGCCATTGACCAGAATGGATAAGACTAGAGGGAGCACAGACTGGTGGCAAGAAGAGACAACAGGGTTTTTCACTTTTGGACATGTTAAGCTTGAAATACCTTTTAAGCATCCAAGTGGAAATGTCACTGAGGCAGGCCACAGGCTACCTACCAAACCTAGAACATCAGGGAAAGATGAGTGATAGACAGAACTACACATTTGGGAGTCATCAGGAAATAGTTGTCTTTTAAAGCCTTTGGCTGGATTAGATCACTTAGGGGAAAGGGGAGAGAGAAAGAATATGAATGAATGAATGGAAACAAGGGAGAAGAGAGGTCAAAAGCCTGGGTCCTAGGACTTGCCAACATAACTATCAATTTTCCTAATTTTAGTCTCCTCCCTTGTTAACTAATCCATTAAAGTATTTTTCAATGACAGCATCAAAAAATATCATGATCAACTTTTATATTTCAATGCATGCCACAAACTTTAACTTTTACTTTTGACAGTACTTGCCATATTCAGAAGCTCCGGAAGTGTAGTGCCTAAGGCACTTGACCGCTAACCAAAATGCTGGTGCTTCAAACCCACCAGCTACTTCTTGGAAGGAAGGTTGGGCAATCTACTTTCGCAGTGATACTGCCTTGAAAATCCAAGGAGGGGTCGCTATGAGTCAGGTCCGACTCCACGACATATAATAACAACAACAACGGCCATATTCAGATCATAATCTCTAACATAATCTCTGAAGACTCTCTCCGAGAGAATACATACATGGAAAGATGAGAGAAAAACAAAGGTAGCTGGAACAACAGGAGAAAAAGATTCTATTTTGAAGGTAATAGAAATAACCTTACAAAATAGAAGAATAACAGCATTTGTAAAATAAACTGTATCCAAACTATCTTAAAATTTTAATATGGATTATACTTTTTCTTTAGTTTTAACTACACAGTCTGAAATGCACAAATAAGAGTGTAAATGTGATAAAAACACTCAAATCTCAGTTCAAGGAATTTTAACAACTCTGTATCTTCCTCCTGTTTCTGGTTTCCATGGAAATGGAGAGAGGTAGCAGCTTGAAAAATAAGGATGAGGTACTTAAAACACCTCTATTCAAAGAAGAGAAGTGAGAAACAGCTGGCAGTCAGGGTGAAGACTGATAGAACTGAAGTCAATTTTTGCTTCTGGAACCAAGTTTAGATTCAGGAAAATATAATCTCTATAATGCTAAATTCTCACTCCACCTTTTTTCATCCCAACACAACTAGGCTTAGCCTTGGTTTCACACAGAGAAAAATAACTAAATCATATTTAGTAACCAGTTTTCCTAATATTTGACACACAGTTCACATAATCAAATTTATTCTCCAACATCATTTACATTTCCAATCTAATCACACGCTCTTTGATATGACGCTACTTTCCTAGGTAGAAAAACCACCCATACTATCTTTAGAAATAGCATATATTCTTCACATATATTAGTAATGAATATTTAATTTAAGCAAATGCTACCCAATAAAACTAAACACGATTTAACAACCTTACAAAAAGGAGAGCAATCACAGAGTTAAATAAATGCCAGACACTAATATTAAGCCTTCCCGAGTTCCAATTTGGGCTCATTTGCCTTAAGAAACCAAAGATGATTATACTGGTGAAGTTCCTATGTATGTGTCTCTTCACCATTATCAGCACTGAGAGTCTGTGAAATAGAAATCTACCAACCCCACAATCTCCACTGGAAACAATGAAGTAAAACAAATAATCTGGGAATAAAAAAAATATATTTTATGCATGGAATGTGGAAGGCATGAGGGCCATCATACCTTTTAAACAAGAAGACTAAAAAAAGAAAAAGATAAAAATACAATACCATTTTACACAAGTGACCTAGAATTAAATGTTCACTTCCCCCCAAAAGAGTCAGATGACAGGTAATGATCAGAAGGATGGAAAGACTATTATTACAGCCCAACTAAATTTTCAAGCTATGAAACCAATGCTGCTAAATCAGTGATTTAACAGTTGACCTGCAGACACATTTAGTGTCCAAAACTTTGCTAAATAACCTTAGAAATATTTGAGAACTGGAATAACTTAATTACTCTTACCTTTGCAGACACTCAAAATCATACCGCCTGAATTTTGCACTTCATCAAATTTGGCAAATATCATTTCTAATCTGGGAATAAAGAATAAATTTTGTTTGTTTGTTTGTTTTTACATACATGTTAATAGAAACAATTTCCTGCACCATCTCCCTTAGGGGGGAAAAAATTCTAGGGCCTTCATCTGATTTTCTAAACAACCCTATTTCACAATTAATTCACTTACTGGAAGGAGGCACAAAATACATCTCTCTTCAGCTGAGAGAAGCTAAGTAAGCACTGATAGCATACCACGTGCCCACAGGTATGTTTGTGAAAAGACAACCCTCATACAAAGCAGTTTCATAAGGAAATTATTCCTCCAACCCCATCAGAAATATTCTAGTTCCAACCTTGTAATAAATCTACTCAGTCACCAAAACATTTTTATAAGCACATAAAAATCATGCTAAGGAAACAACACAAACATAAAAACACTAAAATATAAAATACCACAAATTAAACCATGCTGACACAACAACTGATAATCTGATGCTATCCCTATTAACCTGACTATTTTCATACAACACCAATTTCATTACCATGTCTAATTTTATATTCAGGATAACGATGTTCTCTACACTTCTGCTACCACAGGTTTTTGAAGCAAAAAACGTATTTCTTATTACAAAAACAATGACACTCATTATAAAAGAAAATTACAAAATATAAAAAAGAACAAAGGAGAAAAATCACAATTCCACCATCTAAAGAGTTTAATTATCCCTTCTTTGCTTCTATATTTACCTAAAGCCTTTCTTTAGGCCCAAATGGGAGCATGCTGACAATACTGTTTTTCAGTATGCTTTTTCTTTTACTTTCTAATATACTATCTTGTGACTTCATAAATCAATGACTTAAGAGATTTGAGGAACACGTCTCCAAATGGTTTTCTCTGACTTAACCTGTATTTGTCACAATTTCATTTCCTACAATCTTTATTAAACATTGATTCACATACTATCCATTTCTTATTTATACATTGAGGAAGCCAGTATTTTGGACCTAAATTTATTTTCAGTAAGAAAACTCCTAGGGATTCATTGTAATGGAATTTCTAAATATTAATCCCACTTCCTACCCCTATTAATATCAACAAATACACTATTCACACATCTGAAAGCACTTCAGTCAAAACACACAGGTCCTTTGATGCTACAGAGCAGTATCTTCTATAGAGCTGAGCAGAAAGAAAGTAGGTAGGTTTCCCAGAGACAAGATGTGGACAAGAGATTAGGGAGAAGGAGGGAGCTCTGAAAATGGAAGCTGCGCTGTTTGCGAAGAAAGCAGAACAGAAGTTAAGAAGCTTGAGATTAATACTCAGCGGCAGGTTCTGAAAATAGAAGTAGGAAATTGAACACAGAAGCTCAGATTGAGAATAGGGTTGCCAAGGAACTGAGGTGGGACAGATAAAAAACATGCCAGCAAGGAATGGAGATGGAGGCAGCTTTAATAGGAAGGGGGTTCAATTAAAACACTAGGCATATAACAGGAATAAGGGAGAAAAAAAAGATTTTGAAAAGTAAGGGAGGAAGGCATCATCAAAGGTCTTTTGGGATGAGATGGTCTGGGAAGAACACATAAAGAAGATGCTTACTTCACATCCCTCACCTCACTGTCAATCCTCACTTTGCTCTTTTTACTCTTCCTGTAACTGTCCGCCTTTCCCTTTTCCTTCAATGTTTCTCACTTTACTAACTCTCACACAAAACTAGTATCTGACTTTTGCTTGATATTTATTTACTTCAGTGGATAGAATTAGAAAAGCAACTCTAACTAAAGTCCATACCTGCTTAGGGTAAGAATAATCCATTAAAAACAAAACTCAAAATCATAAAAAAGACCAGGCTTATTGGACCAATAGAGACTGGTAAAACCCTTGAGGTTACGGCCCCTAATCACCCTTCAAGCCTGGAATTGAACTCACTCTTGTGACCTCCAGCCAACCAGCAGACAGGTGTATTAGGTGAACATTTACACCAGGTAGGCAAACTGCTTAGAATAATTAACTATGTGAAAACAGAAGGGCAGCATTTGCACAGGGAGATAGCTCAGAGAGCAGGAATGCATAGTGAAGGATACTGTGAAAAGGTAAACACAGGGAGGAAGCGGGAAGAGAACTGTTACATTACGGTGATTGCAATCAATATCATGAAACAAAATGTGCGTGAACTGTGGAATAGAAGACAAATTTGCTCTGTAAACCTTCACCCAAATCACACACAAAGATTTTAAATGGTTTCTGATTTCCCAAATCAGAAAAGCATACAACTATTTACAATTTGAAGTAAAAGAGTTTCCTCACTTAAAAAAGAAAGAATAATCCATCATAAGTACAATACAACAGAGACAATTAGGATCTCAGAGCTTATCTTTTTCTTTAACAATAACTTTATTGACATATAATTGACATATCATACAATCTACCCCCTGTAGATAGTTACATAAAGTCTTGGATTTTAGTAGATTCAAAGAGTTGTACAACTATTACCATGATCTATTTTTCAACACTTTCATCAACCCAAAAAGGAATCCTATGCCCATTAACAGTCACTTCCTATTCTCCCAACCCTTCCAGTCTTGTTGTTGTTGTTATGTGCCGTCGAGTCGGCCCCGACTCATAGCGACCCCTCCTTGGGTTTCCGAGGCAGTATCACTACAGAAGTAGGATTGCCCAACCTTCCTTCCGAGGAGTGGCTGGTGGGTTTGAACCGCCAGCCGTCTGGTTAGCAGGCAAGTGTCTTAGCCACTATGCTACTAGAGCTCCTCCTTCCAGTCTTAGGCAACCACTAATATACTTTCTGTCTACAGATATGCCTTATCTGGTCATTTCATGTAAAAAGAATGATACAATATGTGAGCTTTTGTGACTGTCTTCCTTCAATTAGCATAATATTTTCAAGGTTCATCCATGTTGTAACATCATTTTTATGGCTGAACAATAATCCACTGCCTATATATACCACATTTTATGTATCCATTCATTGGCTCACGGACATTTGAGTTGTTTCTACTTTTTGGCTATTATGAATAATGCTGTTATGAAAATTTGTGTATAGGTGCTTGTGTGGGCAAAAGGGAACTCTATGTATAACATTTTGAGGAATTGCAAAACTGTTCTCCAAAGTGGCTATACCATTTTACATTCCCACCAGCAATGGATAATGGCTCTGATTTCTATACATCCCATGAACAATTGTTACTGTCTGTCTTTTCAAATTTAGCCATCCTAAAGATATAAAAGGGGCTCTGGTAGCGTAGTGCCTAAGGCACTTGACCGCTAACCAGAAGGCTGGTGGTTCAAACCCACCAGCCACTCCTCGGAAGAAAGCCTGGGCAAATCTACTTCCGTAGTGATAATGCCTCAGAAACTCAAGGAGGGGTCACTATGAGTAGGGTCTGACTCGACGGCACATAACAACAATAACAACAACAACAACAACAACAATGGTATAAAAGCTGGACAATGAATAAGGAAGACTGAAGAATTAATACCTCTGAACTGTGGTGTTGGCAGAAAGTACCGTACCAAGGACTGCCAGAAGAACGAGCAAATCTGTCCTGGAAGAAGTGCAGCCAGAATGCTCCTTAGAAGCGAGAATGGCCACCTACTTTGGTCATAGTATCAGAAGGAACCAGTCCCTGAAGAAGGATAACATGCTTGGTAAAGTAGAGGGTTAGCGAAAAAGAGGAAGACCTTCACCAAGATGGACTGACACAGTGGCTAGAACAATTGGCTCAAACATAGCAGGGATTGTGAGGATGGTACAGGATCTGGCAGTGTTTTGTTCCGTTGCACAAAGGGTCACTATGTACTAAAAGGACATGGAGGTGGCATCTGACCTCCTCTAACTCCACAAGAGGAAGACAGAATCACCATCACCAGCCCAAGACTTATTCCTATGAGGCCAGACATGGCGCCATCCTCCAGCCTTTTTACCAACTTTAACACCAACCGTCCTTCCCATGGCACTCACTCCTCTGTTGGGTTCAAGAATTTGTTGCAATGGCCACAAAGAACTCACAGACAATACTCACGATTATGGGGTTTATTAGGGAAATAACAGGCTATAGTTCAGGTTCAGAAACACTCTCAGGATACAACTCTTTGATCAGGACAGTCTCCCCTCTCCTGTGCCTTCTGACACTCCTCTCTGGCCCTTGGCCTCTTGTCCTGGCCTCTGCCTCTGTAGGCCAGGTAAGCCTGCCACTGTGTCTCATGCCTCTTGGTTCCACTGCCATCGTCTCTCTGCCAGCTGGGGCATCTCTCAGCCAAGGAGGTCCAGTGCAGGGATCTCAGGTGCAAGGATGGGCTCACCCCTCACCTCCAGCTCTTCTCTCTTGATGGCAGTGAGGTCTCCTCTCTGCCTCTAGGAGGGCTCATTTTAAGCCTGGCAGATTGATAAAACTAAACAATCCTAACATCAGAGTTCTACACACCTTATTTGCATGGTCCCACCCAGTAACCTGGTGGGAGTTATAAAGACTAGGCTAGAAAAGCCATACCAAGTAATTCACTGCCCTGCACTATGAGTTGGAGCCAACTGGATGGCACGTAACAACAACAATGGTATGAAGTGCCATTTCATTGTGGTTCTGATTTGTATTTCTACGAGTTCTTTATATATGTGGCATTCAAATTTCTGATGATACACATGATTTCTGATAAAACACAGATTTTTCCCATCCTAAGGGCTGTTATTTTACTTTCTTGATAGTGTTCCTTGAAGCACAAGGTTTTAATTCTGATGAAATTCAACTTATCAATTTTTTTTCCCATTTAAGTTGTTTGTGCTTTTGGTGTCATATCTAAAAAACCACTACCTAATTCAAGTTCACAACTATGTACTCTATGAAGAGTGCTATCAGTTTCACACTTACATTTACGTCTATGATCCATTTCTAGCTAGTTTTTGTGTGTGGTGTGAGGTTGGGGCTCAACTTCATTTTTTTCCATGTATATCCAGTGTTCCCAGCAAAAGACTATTCTTTTCCCATTTAATGGTCTTTGTACCCTTGCTGAAAATCAACTAAT